CCTTTGAGGCCAAGGCATCAAAACGGACTGGTTCCACGTCTCCGGCCGCCTCAACTGGCGCGCCCACTGCAACAGCATTTTTCCCAGGGAAGGTGAAGCCTCCGCCACCAAATGTGGCCCAACTTGCCGGTATGCCTGGATATGCAAGCAGCAGATTGTTGCCCCCTCCTCCGAAGGGTGAAGCTCCAAAGCCTCCTGCAGCAAAGGTTGAAAGCCCAAAGACACCGCCAAAAGCGCCTCCAAAACCATCACCGAAGGAAGGGACTTCTGCACCTCATGCACCAGAAGTTCCAAAAGCTGTGACCTCAGAAGTTGATGCAGCAGCAAAGGATGAACCTGCAAAGAAGAAGGCAGCCCTGACAAGCGTGCCCGCAGCTGTACCTGCGGCATCATCAGCTGCGGCCTTCTTGGAGCCTGTTTCAAAAGTTGCACCGCCGAAGGCAGTACAGAAAGATCCAAAAGCTCCAGTTGCAGAGTCACCCAAAAAGACGCCGGCATCAACATCAAAGTCACTGGTGCCAAAGCAGAAGTCTCGCCCTAAAGGCGATGACCAACCTTCAAAGAAAGAAGTGAAGAAGGAGGACAAGAAGCCGGTGCCGGTCAAGATTGAAGTCACGCAATGTTCAAGATGTTTTGCACAGACTTTTAAGGGACAGATTGAATGCGATGTGTGTGGATTGATGCTCGAAGGGGTGAACAAGGCCGACCGAACCAAGATTGCAGAACGAAGGAAGGCCGCCCTTCACAAGCTGGGCTTGTACTATGATTTTCGTGGTGAGTACCTGCAGAGCATCACACATGATCAGCTTGAATCTTTGGGTTTGTTGGACGACCAGGCAAGGGGAAGCTCAAGTCCGGAAGCCAGTTTGTTGGCAAGGGCGAAGAGTCGTTTCGACCGTGCCTTGAGCTTAGGCTATGTGTCTGTGGCTGACAGGTTTGCCCAGGACGCCACATTCGCAGAGAGTGTGTTGAACGAGGGGGAGAACGAGTACGATTGTGAAAGGTACGACCTCCTCAAGTCTGCACATTTGCCAAAGCCGGGTCGCACCAAAGCTCAGGTCAAGATGGGTATTTCTGAGCAATCTCAGCTGGAGCACAACGCTATGAGGCTGGTTTACTTGGATTTGGCAAGCCGTCTTGATGTCCCGAAATCATTCAGGTACATTGACCAACCATGGTTCTACATGTACCGTACGGAAATCTACTCAGAAGAAGAGTACATTGACTACCTCAACCGGAATCCTGGACACAATCTTTTGTTGTCTTGTACTGGTGTTGACAACATTGCCGTTCATGATGCAGAACGTCATTTGAGGTGGATTAAGGGACAGAACGAGGAGCTGTACAAGCAGAACGCAGCAGAGAAGAAGAAACAGTCTGACAGGGCCCGCGAACAAAACGAGGCCAAGCGCAAAGCTGAGCAGACTGGTACGTACGGCCAAGGTCCCTCCAAGAAAGGCACCGCCAAACCGGTTGCCCGACCATCCACCGTAGAGGTAGCTTCATCATCAACGTCTGCAAGTCAGTGGATCAACCGCCCTCAGCAAAGTCAGTCCCACGATGATCGCCGTTACACTGGAGAATGGCAGAAGTGGCATGGACGCTGGTATGAGAAAGTCATCAGGCATGGCCGAGTTGAGTGGGAAGAGGGATAAGTTGTGACACTACTTGCATTGACGATCGGTTTTTGTATCATAGCCGCCGAGTGTGTTTTCCCTTGGGTTTGCAAAGAGCAGGTTCGGTGAGGCAGGTCTTAAAGACCTCGCCCTGGTAAATGTGGCATCCTCGCCGTAACCGGCTCACCTGAGGGGGGTGTAAAATCACCTCACATAAAACACACTGTAATATAGCATGTACTTGGTAGCTGTTGCGGCTCAGGTAAAAAGGGTTTGAGCTGCAGATGCTTAACGGATTTTAGGTTTATCAGTCTATTTGGGTGTAATAGGAATTACCCCAGCTGAAACCTGAAAATACACGTAGTCGATGGCCCTAGAACGCAATGGTTTCTCAACGGGGTTGTACATTGTCACATTGGCATTGGCAAGCTGTGCAAATGCTTTGGATACCGGATGCAATTTTCGTCCTGCGCAGAAGGTCATTTTTGATGTATTGAAAGAGAACGTAAGGCTAGACATCTACACGCTGTCAATGTTGTCTCTGAGTTGTGGAAGCTGCTGCCGCTTCAGCATTTGTTTTTTGTGACGAAATATTGCGTTCAAAGAAGTGATATGTGATATTCCCGCTTACTCTGCCTCTATGCTCGTGCTTTTTCTCCTGCTTTTTCCCGTGCTTTTTTCTTGTGCTTTTTCTCGTGCTTTTTCTCGTGCTTTTTCTCGTGCTTTTTCTCGTGCTTTATCTCGTGCTTTTTCTCGTGCAGTTTCTCGTGCTTTTTCTCTTGCTTTTTCTCATGTTTTTTCTCGTGATTCTCGTGTTTTTTCTCGCGCTTTTTCTCGTGCTTTGTCTCGTGCTTTTTCTCGTGTTTTTTCTCGTGCTTTTTCTCGTTCTTTTTCTTGTGCTTTGTCTCGTGCTTTGTCTCGTGCTTTGCATCCTGTTCACTGTGTCAAAGCCCACCTTTTAGTATTCGTGCCATCCTGGTCTTCGCCTAGTGCTTTTCTTTCCGCTCCCTTTGGATTTCTCCTTGACTGTTTTGGAAATTTCAGTGGCGCTTTTTCAAGATTTGCTCGTGCAAAATCTGGTGCTGTTTTTTGTGCTTTTTTTGTGCTTTTTTGGAGTCTGGTGCTGTTTTTTGTGTTTTTTTTGGAAGGCGCCTTATTAATTATATTTATAAAGAGCACAAAACATAGCACCAAAAAAAGCACCAGCAAAATGTGATTTTTGGATATTTTTGGTGGATGCCATTTCGGCCTTTGAAACTTCGTTAGCTCAAGTTAGCTCCTTTTTCTCGGTCTTTTTCTCGTGTTTTTTCTCGCGCTTTTTCTCGCGCTTTTTCTCGTGCTTTTTCTCGTGCTTTTTCTCTTGCTTTTTGCTCGTGCTTTTTCTCTTGCTTTTTCTCATGTTTTTTCTCCTGCTGTTTCTCGTGCTTTTTCTCGTGCTTTTTCTCGTGCTTTATCTCGTGCTTTTTCTCTTGCTTTTTCTCATGCTTTTTCTCTTGTAGCCGTGCTTTTTCTCGTGCTTTTTCTCGTGCTTTGTCTCGTGCTTTTTCTCATGCTTTTTCTCATGCTTTTTCTCTTGTAGCCGTGCTTTTTCTCGTGCTTTGTCTCGTGCTTTGTCCCGTGGTCACAGTTACAAGAAAAAACAATGGAAAAAACAAAAAAAACAAAAAAACATCAGTTTTACTTGCGTTTAGTATTCGGGACCCTGGTCCCCCGGAGGGCCGCCCATGGTGGATCCTTTCGCCTTCTTCGAGGACAGTGGGACAGCAGGTTTGACACGGAATGTAGTCTGAAAGTTTCAAACAGAAGATCTCCCTAGATACCTTACAGAGATGCAGCTGAAATCCTTTCAAGAGGGCTTTGCATGATCTTGTACAGGTCCTTGCGAAAAGAGCTGATGGAGATCCTTGTGAGGAAGATCTTGTAGAGCTCCTCGTCAAGAGATTCTTGCGCGAAGATGTTCTAGGGATCTTTGTACGAAGATCCTTGTAGAGATATCTTGCAGAAATCCATTCAAGGGGTCCTTGCGTGATCTTCATTATGGAGATCCTTGTGGGAAGATCTTGTAGAGATCCTTGTGCGAAGATCCTTGCAAAGACCCTGCCGAAATCTTCTCCAGAGGACCTTGCATGATCTTGTACAAGTCCTTGTAAGAAGATCCTTTAGAGGTCCTGATGAAATCTTCCTATAAAGGATGTCCTTGCATGATCTTGTACAGGTCCTAGTGCGAAGATCTTGCAGAGATCCTCATGATTTCCTCTCAAGAGGTCCTTGTGCGCTCTTGAACCAGTCCTTGCAAGATCTTCTAGAGATACTCGTGAGATTATCTTGCGCACGTCCTTGTAAGAAGATCTTCTAGAGATCCTAATGAAACCCTCTTAGGACATCCTTGTATGATTTTGTACAGGTCCTTGTGAGAAGCTCTTGTGGAACCCAAGCGAAGTCTTGGTCAGTAGACATAATGTTGGTCCTTGCCCCATTATTATCTTTTTTTGTCAAGTCATCCCCCTCAATATTGTCGCCCTCAACATCATCATCTTTCTCCTTCTCAACATCATCATCCTCCACCTTAAAATCCTCCACTTCATCTTCCGCATTATCATCCTCACCATTATTCTCCTCAACATCATCATCCTCCACCTCATCTTCCTCAGCATCATCATCCTCAACATAATTGTCTGCGACATTCTCCTCCTCCTCATCATCTTCATCATCATCATCCTCATCATCCACAACATTAACAACAACGTTGTCATACATTATCCTCCCACTCCACCACACTGTTTGGGGTCTCTTGCCGAAATAGTTTTTACCCCATGGCCCAATTTTTTTGGCTCAAATAGTATGTCTGGCAAGAAACCGGATTGTATCTCAGGTAAGATGTTAGATAGAATGTCCGATAAGATGTCGCTTTTGATGCCCGACCATATTATGTCAGGTAGAGTGTCAGTTGGTAGGGCTCACTTGAAGAAAGTCGTTGACAACTAAAAATCTGCATTAGGAATCTCCAGTGGGGTTTTCAACATACAAAGTGTGCGTTTTGAATCTTGGATGCCATTCTATTTTCCAACTTTTTGGTGGAACAAGTCAATGCAAAATGCCACATCATGCTTCCAAAATGATTATGTCACTTCATGCAGCGCGCTAAAAAGGGCAGCTCCAAAACAGATGGCTTTTTGAAGCCGGCACTTTTGGAAAACAAACCTCCATTTTTTCACTTTTTCTCGTGGGTTTTCTGGTGCTTTTTTTGTGGTCACTGTTACAGGGACTAGGCTTCCCACAATATATATATATATATATTGGTTATATTGGTTATATTGGTTATGGGATGTTATGGGTACCAATGGGTACCAGGCTTTTTGATTCACAACTGGACCGAACTTCGAGGCGCCGGGCTCTTCCACAGCCAGCTCTACGTGACCTCTGCGCGCAGCTGGGCGCGACTCGAAGCTGTGCCGCAGCTCTTGCAGCATCCATTCGGCGGTGGCCCGTCGGAAAGTGGCGGGGAGCATATTGACAAAGCCAGATACTATATAATACTATATATATATATATATATTATACACACTATGTGTATGTATATACACTATCTATATATATATATATATATCTACACGCTCTATATATACTATATATATATATACATATATACACACATGTATGTCTGAAATGCTTGTAATATCTTGTAATGTATGCATATAATCCCTCCCCCCTAATACTAAACGTCCCCCCCCTCCCCTAATAATAAACACCTCAGGTAGTTTTTATTATAAGGGGGGTATTTATTATTAGGGAACCTTATTAATAAATTCAAAACTTGAATAATAAAAACTATTTTTTTGATTTCAAAATCAATTAATTTTCCTTATATAACGCAATTAAAATATTGCCAAAAATTGGATTTCGAAGCGGACCCTATTAATAAATTCCAAACCTAAATAATAAAAACTATTTTTCCGATTTCAAATTCAATTAAATTTCCTTTTATAACGCCATTAAAATATTGCCAAAAATTGGATTTCGAAGCGGACCCTATTAATAAATTCAAAACCTTAATAATAAAAACTATTTTTTCCGATTTCAAAATCAATTAAATTCCTTTTATAACGCCACTAAAATATTGCCAAAAATTGGATTTCAAAGCGGACCCTATTAATAAATGCAAAACCTCAATAATAAAAACTAGTTTTTTCGATTTCAAAACCAATTAAATTTCCTTATACAACGCAATAAAAATATTGCTAAACATTGGATTTCGAAGCGGGCCCTGATAATAAATTAAAAACCCTAATATAAAAAAACTAAAAAAAATCGGACGGACCCTAATAATAAACACCCCGGGGTTGACTAGTTTTTATTATTAGGGGGCGAAACCCACAAATGGTAGCTTTATTTTTAATTGTTTTCTAAAGGGGATCAATTAAAAGTCAAATTGGCCAATCTGAAATTTTCCAAAGTGGGAGATGGACCCTAGTTTTTAGTATTTGGGGGACAATTAGTAATAGGGGGAAAGGATTATATATATACATAGATATGGTATGTTTATGATTAAAATTCGAAAGTTGGTTATTTACAAACTAGTTCAGTTTGTTGGCCATCAATACTGGCTGATAAATACTGTCTTATGTGGTCATAGTCACAGCATGACACACCGCTCTGGTCCAACTCAGGGGATGCGTTCTATCTCGGGGTTCGCCAAAAAACAGCCGAGAGCGAACTGTGGGCTGAGGAAGCTCCGTACCCTTGGGGAAAGCATGCAGGGGTTGTTTGAAATTAGTATTTGAAGATTTTTTTTGTGGAAGGGAAAAAGACAGGGCAGGAGTACGGCGCAGCCAACAGGAAGGGCTCATTGGCCATCAACAACCATGAAGGGTTCATCAACCATTGTGTGTTTAAGGGTTCATCAACCATCAACCATCATTTGGCTTCATCAACTATGAATAAGGGTTCATCAACTATCTATCAACAACCATCAAAAAGAAATAAATACTAACCAATCATTTGGTGGGTATAGATGGTTGATGAACTATGGTTGTATGTATATATAACACATATATAACCATTCAGATAACCTTACCTTTGACCATTGGCTTAACCGAACCGAACCGAACCTCGCCGAGGCTATCGCCGGCGTATGGACGCCGACGAGGCCTTGACGGCGGTGAACGTGTGCCGCGCGGTGGGGCTCTTCCACGTGCACGGGCCGGAGGACGCCTGGGAACGCGACGCGGGGCCCATTGCTGGGGAACGGCCGAAGCTCAAAATCGGGATGGGTTGGGGTTTCAAAAGCAGCAAAAATTGGGATGAAACCATCAACGATGGTGCTTTCATGGGAGTTTAATGATGGTTATACAGTTATACCATATCTGGGATGCACATTCCAAGGAAGATTGATGAACACATGTGAATTTCATGAACCGAAACGGTGGTTTGGGTGCTGGGAGTAAGTCGTGTCCCACGAACATGGGCGTTCAAGCAACAAACATGGGTTGTGTAATCAACAAAAAATGGTGATGCCATCAATGAAACATGCTGGTACCATGGACAATGGTGTAAGTTCTGGTGAAGAACTGTGGGTTTATGGGGTTTTGTTCCAACAAATGGATACAAATATGGGTTGCAGTGGTCGAAACTGTTCATCCAGCAGCCTTTGATTTTTTGGAGGACGGGGCAACGATTGAGCCAGGGGAGGTTACTCACATAGCCACTGGTGTGGTATAAGAGATTGCCGACTTGTAGGTTATTTGTAGATGATTTAGATTGTAGATGGCCTATTTAGATTATTTAGTTCGCTGATTTGCCAATAAGGGTGATTTCCCATAGCAAACTGTTAAATTCCCAGGGGTAAAGGTCCCTTCTGGTGCTATGTGCCAAGAGGATAGCAAGAGCTGCACTATGGCCTGATTACCGGGATTTCTTTTACAAAAACCATCATGGTTCACTGTTTTCTGGCATCCCAATCTCAGGTTACCTAAATTTGCCAGATGATCAGTGAGAAAAGATTGACCATCAGTCTGTTTTGAGACTCAGAGTTTCCTGAGAAACTACGGGAGAAACCATCCCTATGGGTATTCAGCCATATTCACCCAACCTTTTTCAGCCATATTCAGCCACCAAACATTAAGAAACCATCCCTACGGTTGTTGGTGCTTCAGATTTGCCGTCGCCATAGGATCTGGCCTCTTTGGTACCGCAGCAGCACCTCCTGAGCCTGCGCATGGCAGCGGAGCTGGGGGAGACTGGCCTGAAGGCTGATGCTTTAGGAGGATGCGGAAGGAAGCATCTTAGGGGATTTATGGTGATTTTCCATGGGATTTTCATGAATTTAATGGATTTTAATGGATTTCAATGGGATATAGCTAACCAGCAATCTGAGATTTGAAGATGGGGGTGTCCATAGCCATGGGGGTACCACAATAGCTGGCGAATGGACGATCCGAAAAGATGGATGAGAACGGGGGGTATCCCATGGATTGGAAAGCTCCATATCCTCTGGATCCCTCTGATAATTTAAGAGTTTGCGAACAAATCATCGTTTTTAGCGGGTTAATACCGTAAATCATCAAAGTCAACGGGGCATGGAAACTCCATGGCTAGGCGCAATTGCCAAAGGGTATGGGAGGCTGGGGTTGGGGGATTTCACCAGTGATTTGTTTCAGGAATTTAAGATGATTTAGCCAGCTACTAAGGTTTCACCAACAAGCTTTTGAAGAGAATGTAGATGCCAACTCGCCAACTAACATGCTGGATCCATCTCTGAGGTTTTTGGGAAATGCACCCAGTCCGCCAGCGGATACCCTTCAGGAACCAAACATGGCAATGGAAAACGGGGAAATCCCTTGTAAATGGAGGTTTATAGCTGGGATAATCATAGAACTCAATGGCGGGATTTTCCAGCCATGCTTGGCCGGTAACCTTAGTGTGGGGCAATTCGTCTTTCGCGCCAGGCGCGTTTCGGTGAGTGCCTGAAGTATCTCAAGGGCGCGGCCAGAAAACAGGTCTTGGAAGCTCTCCACCCGAAGAAAAACATGGCGCGAGCGCAGGAAGATGGGAGTTGGAGCCTCTTCCAGCGGTGTTGACATGGAGGTTCCTGGTGTTTTTTTGGTGGCAAAGCTAGGGACTGGATACGGCTTTGAGGTGATTCAATATGATGCTCCACTTCAGCTCTGAGACACTCAGGGAGATGAATCTCCTGAACTCCTGAACGGACGATTTCGGTGTTCGGTGTTGGGTAGTTTTATAACCCCAACCATATTGCACTGTTTTGTTGTAACATGTTGTAACATTATTTAGGAGTTGGAAGCGGCACTTTATGTTGCAACCCCGCACGGGCTCACTGGCTTTGCATTGCTGTTGCTCGGAAAGCCAATTCTGGAGGCTGCACCATGCTCGGCAGTACATTTAAAGCAAATTTTGGACGTGCTTTGTAAATGCTGGGAGAACTATGATATGGTAATCCCAAATAGACGCAAAAGGGAACTTTCGACCTCAGATTTCCATGCATTTGTCAAATCAAAAGAACATCACCGGCATCACCCCTAAACTTTGATTTTTTTTTTACACGCATTTTCTGACAAACCATCCGACATTTTCTCAGCACCAAGATTTGAGCCACAGCAAAATACCAGCCACTTGTTGGGAGAACAACATCCATCAGTCGCATAGATTTCGATGGACCATGGCTGAGCTCCTTGCCATCAGTTGATCAGTTGGGGGTTCAAGCTGGTTGATGTGGTAAACTCTAAGTCACAAGCCATAACTTTTTCATCTTTTTCCATGTGTTTCTTTCGGAAGTTTGGAAACGTGGGGGCTTGAACCATTACAAAATCTTGGCCGTTTTTTGGACCTTGTTTAGAAAGGCCCCGTGTGAAACAAAAGACTTATGGCACGAGATGATGATACTATATTATTTATATTGGTTATTCTTGCAGAACTCCTCATTTGTCGGGATCTATATGGGAGGCCAAGTTCTTTTAGGCGTTGAACTTCTACTACAATTGTTTAATTGTCAATGGATGGTTGGAGTTCTAGGAAGCACCAGACATGTATGGAAGCTCTTTAGATAGAAGTCTGCCCCCTTGTCGGCTATTGGACTCTACAACTGTGCAGCTTCTAGATAGGTGATTACTAGGCACGGATCAAGATGGGCATTGCCCCAAATTGGAAGGGTTAATGCAGTTACAGTAATACTACCGCGTCTGCCCAAAAATCGGGTACCCGCCCATTAATGGTCCCCATTGAATGCCAACCGGGACACACCCAGTTTTTTAGGCAAACTCGCTATATCTCAGCTCCTATGGCGCAGCCAGGTACCACCAACTACGCAGCCAGGAGGTGGCCCTGGCGCAAGCAGATTTTCTCACTCCGTACTGGGTTGATGAGCATGTTACGTGAGTGAATCCCCCTCATGTCTGGCTTTTTTCCGTTTCATTTACAGTAAATTAGCATAAATCAGCATAAATTAGGCATAAATCAGTGATTCATTTCGCGATGAAGATCTCCAGTTCCGTTGCTCATCCGAGTTTTGTGGCTCTATCAACCTGAACATCCACAAATTCCTGACATTTTGTTGTGAACTTTGGAGAAAAACGGCCAGGTCCAGGCCATCAACACCATGGCGACCACCGTCCCAGTCGAGGAGGCATGGGAATTGAGATGCAACCATTGAATAGGGGGTATATATATATACAGAGATATATATATATAAATAGATAGATACTGTATAGATTATACATAGCCAGCAGGGAATCCCCTCCCAATCTTACCCAAAGGAAAAGCATAGAAAACCTTGGGAATGGATCATTCTATCTTTCCATTGGACTTCAGTCCTGCTGTTTCAGCTACAAGGAGTTTCGCGAGGAGATGACGGTCACTTGGCGATGGGTCAATGGCTGGTGACGTTTCTGGAAAATCATGGCCAATCGCTGGAAAAGAAACCCAGCTTGAGCATTAAAGAACATGAATTACCCTCTGGTAAACTAACATGAGTACAGAAAATCACCATTTTTAATGGGTAAATCAACTATAAATAGCAATTTTCCATAGCTATGTTAATTTACCAGAGGGTATCTTTGACGTTAGAATTTCCTCCTGGGATGAAGCCTGGCGCTGAGATTTTTATGGGACATGGATCCAAACTGAAGCGACCGAGCCTTGGGTTTCGTTGAAGTTGGTGATAGGTTGGGGATCAAAAACGCATGCTTTAATCTTCTGAAGAAAGGGATCAACATGCATACCACAACTACAAGAGTTGTTGTTATGTGAGAACCAGCGTACCGGCGGTTTGACTAGGGACTCAAGAGCTCACCTTAGGACCAGTGTGGGTGTCACGACGCCGGGTCGAAACACAGACCCGGAGTCATCCGGAGTCAGCGCGTGCCATGGCTCATCACTCTGCGGTGAGGTCCTTTTTAGATCGACATGGGTTTTCGGATGTGGACCGCCCTCGGGACCTTGATGAGTCTGTGCCGCATCGTATCCAGATGGAGCCAGTCTATCCCATTGAAGTCGCTTCTGCCCTTGGCAAGGAGGCAATGGTGAACATGCTGCTGGATGCTGGGGCCATCAGCAATCCCCGAGCGCGGCAATCGCCATCTCTAACCTCATCTTCCTCATCAACCTCTGGCAGTTGCTGTCAATCCTTCGCCTCCTGGTGTCTGGACTATTAAAAACTGGGAAAGTCTGATGTTTTTGCGGAATATTTATAAAATGAAAGAAAAGGGATACTGTACCAATGAGCCAATCATATTAAAAACACAAACCAATTGGTGGCAGGAACCAGTTGTGTGTCTCACACGGACCCAGGCCTGGAACCGCATCTACCACGAGATTTGCGGCTTCACCGCCGACTTCGCCACCGGCTTCACGGCACCTGCGAAGTTGCCTTGCTCCCAAGGCTTCTGAGATGGCTAGTGAGGCTCGTGATAGAGGGAAATTACCCATTTCTACCATGTGGGTCTAAATGTAGATACTACAAATGCGCCGCGAAAGAGACTTTCCCTACATCTTCTGCAGGCAACGAACAATTGCAGCAGATACTTTCCTTCGGGCCCTTCGGGTCTCAAAGGCATCGATTTTGACTCACAATGTTTGGTGGTTTACGAAGAATTAGTAACCCATCCGCAGACTTGGCTCCCTTCTGCAACATGTCAGAGCGCGTTGCTCGGGTTGGCGGATGAGAAAACACTTGTGTACAGTCAGCGCGAAGACGGTGCACTTAGAAAAAAAAACCGATCCAGGCAATGAGCCACCAACGGTTTTCTAATTTTGATCAATGTCAATCCGAGGCCTTAGTGTCATTGTCTGTCATTGTCAATCCGACGGGAGCGCTTGTTTCATCCGGGCCTTAGATTGGCTGCATGGTTTCTGTCTTCAATTACAGGGGAGTAAACAAAGCACCACCAGAAGTTGGTGCTTCGAACGTCAAGGACCCAATTTCATCTGTTGTTAATAGGTATAGTATTTTTATAATATATATATATAATTAAATATATATATAATTAAATATATATATACACATAATATACATTATGAAGGTTTCCTGAAATGGGGGTACCCCTGAATCCTCCATTTTAGTATGCTTTTCCATTATAACCCAACTATTTTTTTTGGATCCCCCATTTACGGAAAGCTCCATATAGACACTTTTGAGTCATGCGGCAGTTCCCAGCCTTTCGAGAAACGCTGAGTGCAAAGAACGCGTTCGAAACCTCATGGAGAATCCCAGCAGCGGAATGGCAGCGCAGGCGCAGCTTTCGGAAACGCGAACCGGGAACCGAGGTCGTGTCTTTCAGGTCAGGTAAACCCGATATATGTCGGGATACTTGGTGGATCATCCCACTTACTAAGTAGGTTATAAATGTTATAACCCCGATCATAAGCGGATTACCCAGACTTATCCGAATCTGACCAGAGATACAACCTACTTAGTAAGTGGGATGATCTGCTAAGTATCATGTTACGTAGGATATTGATGTGATATTAATAGTAAAATTGGTGGGACTATGATTGATAATTATGGGATATTATGGGATAGCCCTAGTAAACCATCTCCAATAGAGGTTCCTCATTGGGTATACTACCCCTATTTGGGATGACGTAATATGATGTAAAAAAACAGTGGTTGCTTAATGGGATGCTTTCTGGCGGGTTTACCAGAAGAGTTGGTTAATGGATTGAAAACATACAGAATGTGGTAAACCCAATGCCATACACAAATCCCCCCATTTCTTCGATTTTACACCTTGGACCTTTTTTGGGTTGGGAGAGCTTTGAAACCCTCTGGGATCACATGGGTATGGGGCAAGATTAGATATCCCCAATTTTTGGGAGCCGGTTCAGCTCCTAAAAACGAACAGAATCTGCAAGAAATCCCGCCTTCAAATTCGATCCATTCCCCAACGCCATGCGGAGAATTCGAGTTTTCCAGCCTGAGAGGTTTTTCATTACTTCATCATGGTGGTGATCTTGGCTCCATGGTGGCACCAATGGTGGTGAAGGTGGCTAAGGTGGCGGAAATGATGGACAGGCCCTCTTCAGAAGCAGAACCCATCTAAGACATGGGGAGATGGGTGAAGAAAACACTGGCTGTGCTGAAATGGGAAGTTGAGTCCGCTTGAGTGGTTTCTAAGATCGAACAGGGCATCCCAGGCTGGTCGCTTAACTATCTCAGTCTTACGAATGATGGAAGATTTGTTTCTATCTTTCTCCCTCTTTTTGTGGGACATCTCATCCTCCTCCTCCTCATCATCATCATCATCATCATCATCATCATCCCCATCCCCAACCATCAAGAATGATGCAACTGCATCATTAGACTAGTATAACTGGATATAACTGGTATAACTCTTGTTGTTAGTACTGTTATGATTGTTGATATCAACCCCCAATGGGTGGAGATCCATGAGATCCATGAGGGCCCCCATGGATCGCTAAGGTCAGCACCCTTTGTGTCATCATTGAGACCGTGGCAGCCTCGGTTGAAAAAAATCCAAAGGGTGGTTTGTCATCCACATAGAAGCCATATATAGTATTATTTAGTGTGGTAAAAAATGTAAAGCCAATAATAAGGCAATATGCTATGAATAGTATATTGGTGGGCGATTACTAGTATAACTTTTGGATTTTCATGGATAATTTAATTACTATAATGATCTATAATGCACCATCCCCAGGTTTATCATTGGGTGCCCCCCTTTTTTGGAATGATGTAAAATGACAATGGTTGGTTGTTCGGATGGTGGCATCGGGTTTGCCACATTGTACACAACCCACTTAGTAAGTGGTTACCGGAGTAGTATATGAAGCTTATATGGGGATGGGTCAAAACCTATTATATACTGTATTACCATATTTGGGAGAATAAACATCCATTAGCCAGCTATTTTAGGGTACCCAGGGTGCCAGGGTTTTGACCCATAAACACATAAAAGAACCATGATCCATTATTAAATAAATTGGCCATAGGTACATCCAGATTATTATCCGTTGTATCCCCATAAGCATCATACCAGCATTTTTATTGGTGAAAGCAGGGAATCCAGTTGACCCCTCGTGATTGTGTATTGTACTGGGACTATATCTATACGAAAGAAGTCAGATTCAGAAGCTCCACTGGATTTCGAATACCACTCGCCAGTTTCCGAATACCACCGTGACCGTATCTATACATTGTATATCATATTATTTAATTATGTATATATATAATTATATATATAATATATATAGTTATGTAATAATTATGTAATGTGATGTATATATATCTACGTATGATCATCCAATGCATATATATATATATATACAGTATATAGATGTATACAACGCTTTTATGGAATAGATTATGGAATAGATAGCCAAGCATGATCATTTCATGATGATGTATCATCCAATGATGATAAAATGGGCGTCCATATCTCAATCCAATGCTAGATCATTCAGAGTTATCCAAATAAAGATGTAGTTTTATGTTGTAACACCCAACAATATCAAGAAGAGTCATTTTCAATTATTCTAATTAATTAGTAGGATTTCCTACTCTTCTAAAAACAACTGATAGTTTGGGATTTCTATAGATATTTCATTCACCTTTTGAGACTCGGATGGTCCAGTGGTCCAGAATTGGTTTCGTTGGGAAAATCGACAGGATCAACTTGAGGGAAACCAGGATTTCCTCTAGATTTTCCTCAAAAAAATACCCTCTGGTAATTTAACATAACTATGGAAAATCGCAATTTTTCATGGGAAAACTCACTATAAATGGTGATTTTCCATAGTTATGTTAGTTCACCAGAGGGTAGATCAACTTGGCCCCTTTCAGGTTCCAGAGGTGTCTGGAAACCCCATCTTCCTACCTGCGGAGGTGGCGCTGGGTCAGATGGGTCAGCTCTCAGAATATGTCAGCACAATTGCCTATACTGTATACCCTCCGGTAAACTAACATAGCTATTGAAAATGCCCATTTATAGTGGATTTACCCATTGAAAATGGTGATTTTCCACAGCTATGTTAGTTTACCGGAGTGTATATATAATTATATATATACACTATAAAATATCACACACACACGCACATAAATAAATAAATAAATATATATATACAGACACTCTGGTAAATTAACAGTTTGACCCTGAAGATCACCCCATTTTTATTGGAAACTCATCATCCAACCCCGATGACTGGCAGGGTCTATGTTAATTTTCTGAAGGATCCCCAAGAGCTGGGTGGTGGAAAATCTCCCCCCAAGAGCTGGATGATTTAGGGGTACCCCCATGACTTCGGAAACCTCCATATGTTAGATGATTTTGTTGAGACCATATTTCACAAACCATGTCAGACTAGTATTCCAATTACATATGTTAGACGTTGTAAGACTAAGAAGATATGCCATAATAAATGCGAGAAGAACGGGAGAAAATATGTCACACTATTTCATGTCGCAAAACATTGCAATATTTTTCATTTCTTTATCAGGATGTTTGTGACACGGTGCGATCACACAATGCATTTTTTTGTTTGTTTTTTCTTGTTGTTGTGTGTGTGTATTTGTAGCAGGTGGCATATTGGATATACTAAAAAGGATCATGTTCATAAAACAAATAAAAACAGGGAGCTAGGTTTTTGGTTTAAGCCTTTAAAATTTAAGCATTTTCTTCAGCACATCAACTGCGAAGACCCAGACCCCAGTGGCCCAGTGGGGCGGGTCACGAATCCTCCACATCTCGCGGCCCAGATGTGCTTCACAGCGCTCTTCACGGCGGAGTTTGCCTTGCGGCTCTATGCCTGTGACAGCGTGGCAGAGCGCCTCGGGTGGAAAATGGAGCTAGAACAACCAATGGACCATTTGGTGAGTGGGAGATTGATGAGATGAGTCAGATGTATAAGCAACAATATGATACTTAGGCTTGGGCCAAGCATGGAGATATGCACCCAAACGACCACTTGAATAGGGAACTTGATGATTCATCAGTGGATGGAATTGGTTTTGCTAGTATTTTTAGAAAAAAAACATCAATCATGGGGTTGTATGGGCAATGGGGGTTCGACTACACCCAAAGTTGGGTCTGATCGAACACACATTGGGTGTTGAACCAAGCAAAAAGAGGTGTTGAACCAAGAAAACAGGAGTCTAGTTAACCAGAGTGGTGGATTTTGCTCTTCGAGTCTATCGTGGCTGGGGGATCCAAATTTTTTTATACGCAAATCATCAAAATCTGCAAATGAAAAACGGGTCCAGAGCCACTGTCATTTGCCCCAGAACCAATCCTCTTGGGTGGTGCTCCCTCCAATGAGCCACTCTCTGTGGATTGTCCAGTTCGTATCAGATGTATCTGTATGTTGGCTACATTGAATCACCCTAAACCACAACAGATATCATTCAACACTAGAATCTCAGGATTTAATCATATCATATCATAATATATTATATTGAAAACATAGTTACTGTAATTATATTATATAATAATATTAATTGATTTACTAATCCCTTACTATAAATGGTGACTTTTCATCAAAGGAAACCATGGCATCGGCGAACATCGAGGTTTGCCACCAATACCTTCAACATCATCGATTTTTTGGCCGTTTTTCCGGGGTGCCCAGGGCCCAGGGCACTGGGATGCCCGAACCGTTTTTGGAACCCAAAATGACTCCGGTAACATGGCGACTAGACATCGCAATTTTATAAATGGAGGTAAACATGGGAAAACCATGGGACAGTTTCCCAACTAAATGGAGGTTTTCATGTGAAAATCATCTATATATAAATCTATATTTTCCATTGCCATGTTTGATTGCGAGTGGAGGAAATGTTTTTATGTTGAGGAGAAGGGATCACCTGTTTGCTTTTTGAAGGGTGCTAATGTGGTAAACCCCAAAATGCATTCTACCAAGGGTAGAAAAAAACACATGGAGAACGAGGTATGGCCGACCGTTGAGGTCTTGCCACTTGGGATGATTGTGCTGTTCACTGATCCATTTTGGGAAGTGGACCCCTCAGGCATGTAGTTTCCAAGCATGAAACAGTTTGCAGACAAGGGATAGGCAAAATCAGACAACGAAGTCCGAGGTTTTTTGGTCCTTGCATGATGTCCTTAGCAGTTCAGCAGTCCAGGTATTTGAGCCTGCTGGGGGTCATGTTGCGGCAGGACCAAGCTTGGAGATTTGGTGAATGAAGACATTTCTTTTCGCCCTGGTGATCATCTGCTGAACAGAATGACAGCCTCGGGATGTTCACACAACAGTTTTGGGATGTTGAGGTTTGACCCACAAACACATGTATATATATATATCACCTCACATCATGTGGTTTGAAGTATGGAGGTGTGACATGTCTGATCAGAGATCAGATGTATTAGGGGTTTGTTGATCTCAAGCGTCAATGTAAGTGGTTTGTGGTTATTTTCAACCTATGATGTTTCTTGTTTAGAGGACCGATCTGCATCGGCATTTGGTTATGCGCGGACCTCTGTTGATCTACTGGGTGCCGGGTAAGGTAAAAAAATCGTTGCACCTCGCATCATGCAAGCACCGAGCCAACCGAGGGAGACTGTTGTCCGCTGCCTGGGTGCTATCAGTTTCTTTCCTTGTTTTGCATGTTGATGTTCCCTGGCTTCACGGGGGTTGCGTGCCCCGCCTGATTTACCTTGTCGCCTGTTTGATTTCTCTTTTTCTGACTTCCTTGTAGGGATATTTTGAAGTTTTCTGTGCTCCTATCTGAAGGATGGGGTGTTGGCCCGTTGCTGGCGCACTCACCCCATGCCTGTGGCTAGCCGGAACAGCGCGGGCTGGCGGTTGGTGCGGGATGCGATCCCCGCACTGAACTTCCCAGTGTCAAATGCCTTGACGAACAATTGCCTTACCTTGCCTTACGTTAACCTTACCGGGCTAAAATCACCTTCCAGAGATCGGCAAACGACCAAAAAGTGATCAATATCGCCTTCGAGGGAATGGCGATCGACCAAAAACATGAGTAAAATCATGTAAAATCATTTTCCAGGGAATGGCAAACGACAAAAAAATAAGAAACTTCTTGCCAAAATGTCAGCAGATGACAGAAAGACAGCCAAACATTGTTCTTGATGCTTACGCCTACGCTGGTGATTGAGCGTACGAATCATGGAATGCTGGGGCCAGCGGGGATTTTCAAGACAGTCTTAACATGTTCAGATCGCATTGGCATTGCACTCACCACATTTCACTACCTCATTACACAGTCTAGTGATATAGTGATATATTACATTGTAGACTGGCCCTGGGAAGTGCTGGCATAGTTTGCATGAGTTTCACGCACAGTGTATAGGAACGACTCTATGCAAACATCGAGCCAAAAAAGCAGTAGTAGATTATAGGGGCTGAGTAGGCTGTGATTTGTGGTTGAACTGTCAGACTGTTCTGTTAGATTGTTAGATTGTTAGACTCTTAGACTGTTAGACTTAAGGCCCAAAGGATGTTGTTCATCTCTGCACTGCAGGGCCTGCGACCCCCACATTTTTGAACTTCACACCCTGTAGATTTGTTTAAGCTAATGTAGTATGCAATATTCTGGTTGGTGGTTTGGAACATTTTTTTTTTTATTTTTTATTTTTCCATATATTGGGAATAATCATCCCAACTGACTTTCATATAGCCACTCTTCTCAAGGACCTCCCAGTGGTGTGGCGGGCAGCAACTGATGCCTTGAGGTGTTGCTGTTTTTTCGATCCTGATTCTAGCAATGGCCCTGGTTTCTGATGGCATTCAAATGACCATTAAAACAGTGGGATACAGTGCATGCAAGGTTGACCTTGGTGGTTCAGTTGGTGTTGCACATTTCAGTGAGGCGTGGTGTAAACAGTTTGCACCAGGCTTTGTGATTGTGGTTTCCAACGCTGATGTCAAGTGGTATGAAGGGGAAATTCACTTTCATGCAGATCGTTTGGACTCCAAAGTGTTCATGTGTCCATCTCCTGCGCGAGGGGATATGACTGCTATCGAGATCTTTTCTGGACTAGGGGGATGGACTCAGGCTGCCAAGTCTATGGGTCTTGAACCAGTGTTGCTCATTGATTCAGATGAACGAGTGGCACATGCTTCTGCGAAAAGATTGGGTACTGAGTGTGTTTCAGCCAAACAGTTTGTAGAGTTGGTTTTGACAAATCAGCACAGTCCTCAGCATGTCATCCATGACGATGTACGCAATCCTGATACATGGGTTGCGATTGGCCTTGCAAATGCCCACGTTTTGTTGGGAAGTCCTCCATGCCCACCATGGAGCAATGCGGGGACTGCCCAGGGTCTCCAAAGTGAAGATGGAAAGGTGTTCCAGTCAGTTTTGCGTCAGGCTGCCAAGCTGTGCATGTCATTTGCAGTCATTGAAAATGTCCCAGGGTTGGTGCGTCATCCTGATTTCCGTGATTTGGTCAACGATGCTGAACAACATGGCATGAAGTTAAAGGTACATGGTGTCCATGCATGTTCCAAAGTGCTCCCAGTGCAACGCGACCGATGGCTTGGCACTTTTGTTCATGAAAGCATTGAAGTTGAACAGTCAAGGGTTGTCATGGCAGGTGCGATTGCATTTACTGACAGAGCATTTGAGTCTGTGGCAACTTGCCCATCCATCAAAGATGCTGATGCCATTCATGTCAACATGAGAGATGATGAAAGACTTGACCTCATGATCAAGCGTGATGTATTGAACATGCTAGGCTTGTTGGAACTTGCACCGACTTGGTTGAAGAACAGGTTGAATGGGGTGGAAAACCCGACATGTGACCAAGTCTTGGCCGCTAGGGTTGTTGTTGACTGCCAGCAGTTTTCAGGGTTCATGGCCATGTACGGAAGACAGCATCTCCTGTCCCTGGATTTGCTCCAAACAAAGGGATTGCAGACGGTCTTGATCCATGACAAAGGTGGCAAGAGAATGATTTCGCCATGGGAAATGCTGGCCGCCATGGGGTATGACGCAAAGACTGTCTTGTGTAGTGATTTGCTTGAGGCTTGGCGTATGGCTGGTAATGGGTTGACTGCTGCACATGCTTGGTTACAGATATACAAAACACATGTCCTCTTGGGAAAGTCGTCACCATTCATGCCCGATGGAATGCCACTTCAACAGGTTGCTGAACTGCAATCGAATGCCATCAAGTTGTCCTCATTTGAATCGGCTATCGAAGAGGGGTTTTGGGTGTTGAAGGAAAAGGTGTGTGAGAGTGATGCCAAGAAGCCTAGGCTTGATTTGACTTGTCCTTCAACTGTCCCTTTTTCAGTTGACGATGATGATGATCACCTTGCTACCAGTGCACTCCAAAAAGAGCCTGTCTTTGAACAAGTCCAGGATCCACGGAAGTGTGCTGTTGCGGGGGCCGTCTATGGTGGTGGTCTTGTTGCTTTTCAACATGAACAGAAAAATTGGATGATGTTCGTGAATGCTCCTGAAGTTGACACAGTTGAAAGTATCGTCAGGAGAGCATTGCCACATGCCCGTGAAAGACATTTCCGACAGTTTATGTTTGGAGGCAGTGAGGTCACATGGTCACAGACCATTGCATGTAAACCAGTGAAAGTCATGTCTTTCTGTCCTGTCTTTACGTCAGTCACTTGCAGGGAAGTGTCTCTCAATTTGGCGTTGAAGATGCAAGTTGATGTCACATGGACCACCAAAGCAGCCGTTGCATTCAGTGCCGTGAAAATTGGTTGTAGCCCAGATGCGTTGGCCTTGACATGTCATGATGCGGTTTTGAAAGATGATGATTTCTTGCTTGAATATGAAAGAACGGAGTTTCAAATCAAGTTCAAAGCATGTATGCCGGGGTATGTCAGCTGGGCGCCATGTGTTGCAGAAACTGCAGATCCCGGAATGGCACCCGCACACAACAATCTTGTAAGGTGGTTTGCCAGGCATCCGGTGAGGAAATCATTAAAGACCGTGCCTGCCAATGGGCAACATTCGGTTGCTCAGCTTGTCCAGATGCTGTTTCCAGACCTCCATGCCACCACTTCTTGGACTGTTTTCCATGGAGACATTGAAGTTGCTGGAAAGGACACTGCGAACCAGTGGTCTCACCTGAAGATTCAATGGAATGGGTATAGACCTTTGCAAGTCACCGAGATCCGTGCGCTAGGATTTGATGACTCTCCAGCTGCCCAAGTCAGATACTCTGTCGGTGGTATTCAGAGGTATGTGCGATCCCCATTCAAAGTCCGAAGTGATCTGTTGTGGCTCAGTCCCAATATGCTGGTAGGAGAAGTTGCTGCAAGTTACCTCTCTGTTGCCCAGTTGCAAGTCGCCATTATCGCAATGCAAGGAACCAAAGTTGTTGATCCGTGCTTGCAAATTGGAGAAACAACCAGCGAGGATGTACTAACTTTCAGACTTTGTCCGCTGCTTGGGGGCGCCAAGGGTGATCCAAAAACTCGAATCACCAACATGCTGCAAGCCAAAGGTGTGCCTCAGGATAAGGTTGAGCAGAGAGTCAAGGATTTGTTATCCAAAGTCCCTATCGACAAGTTCAAGACAGGTTTGACGGATGACGCCTTTTGGACGCAAGTCAAAACATTTGCCAGTGAAGCCAAATTCAGACTCATCACTCTTGATGAACTCAAGGCCTTTCAAGTTGCCAACAGAAAGGGGAAAGAAAAAGCTTCCGGCAGTGCAATTGCAGAGACGAAGAAAGCTGAACCTTTTCTTTCAGATGCAAACAAAATTGTGGTTGATGCTGCTCATTTCTCAACCGAGGGTAAGAAGATTGCGTTGTTGGAATCCACCAGATTTGGTCCTGATCAATCAGGTGTTTGCGTGACCAACCCAGCTGACGCAAGGAAGTGGATCAATCAGGGAATCAAAAGCTGTGACCCTTTGGCCTTGTTTGTGGTAGGTAAAGGATGTCAGGATTTTGGTGAGGTGTTCAGCATCCCTGCGCACACGGTGAATGGTCTTCCAGTCATCGTTCAGGGTGCTTTGGTTCAGTTTGGAGATCTTCCCATTGAATTCAACTTGAAAATACCATCAGTTGTGGTTGATCAGGTTGCGTCCACGACAATTGAGTTTGTGATCTTCAAAGAGTATGTGGCCAACTGGAATGATGTTGCGGTACCACTACACTATGTTGGTGTACACATCCCAGAGCTGCGTGGTTCCAATTTGCTTGCTACTTGGAGTATCAAGGCTTGGATGAAACAGTCACCAGTCCAC